ACTTCGCTTTTCTATAACACTAAAACATCCTACATCCTTAACTATTTGTGAACAGTAATCTAATCTAGGCCTACCTCCACTCCTCTTAACTCCTGTTTCTGCTTGTAATATGTCTCTGACTAGCCCTTCATTCCTGAAAACCTACCAATCTATCTCGCCTATATCTTATTGACGCCCATAGAGTCCTCAGTTGTACTGCCTTTAATGATGTTGATCGCGTCTTCAATGTATGGATTAAAAAGAAGCGATGACAATGTGCATCCTTGTGTGACCGCTTCCTAATATTTACTTCTCTACATTGCTGCTCCAGCTCTATAACTGCTTGTTGCTCTTTGTACAAATTAAGTAATCACTCCTCTATCTCTGTAACTCATTCCTACATTTTTTAGTATATTTAACAACTTGTCCCATTTAAAAGCTTTTTCTAAATCTACGAATCCTATGTACGAACTCTTTCCTTCTTCTGTCGTTTTCTCTATTGTTACCCGTAAACCTAAAATGACCTCGTCTGTTTCTTCTAAACGCAAATTAATCTTCCCCGTTTTTTCCATCCTTCTCTGCACAATTCTAACATGTTGTTTTAGTAAGGTTTCTAGAATTAAACAGCGATCCCTTTTTATTTAAATGACGTGTGAAATTCGTACAATTACTCATTATTGATCGTCATTATATGATATTATTTAAACACAGATGTTTTAAAGTTAAGATTTCCCATCGTCAAATAATAACAGGAACTATAATCTGTCATTAATTCTACAAATGCGTCAATGTTGCTCATCAAAGTCATACGAAAGTAACTATTAACTAACTATATATTTGAATGAGAAAATTATATGTTTCGTGACTTTTTACATCTTTAAGTGAAAGTACAGCTTATTTATGAATTTAAATTTGATATGTCGAAATAGTCATAAAAACGCAAGACACTAACACAAAAACAAACAGAGAAATAAGTTGGAATTAAAAATATTACCTAAACACAAACATAACAGTAAGATTACTTACTGGCGATAAGAAGAAAAGTCTAAAATTAAACTAAATATTACGTAATTATATGTAGTCAGAATTGGTAGAAATAAATAAATATGAAAACTAAATAGTTAAATTAACTTGTAACTGTTAAAAAGTGTTTTCTTCAAACGTACGTAGAAGTGATCGAAATTCGTAAAATTGAGAGAAAATGTAATTGAATCAGAGATATAATTTATTTTAGGTGGTTCTTTAACGTTATTTTATTTTTTTTTATTTATTTTATTTTTATTAAATTAACAACATACACAAAATAANTTGCTAAACAATTCTTGGATATGTTTGTGAGAATATCTAGATACTTTATCTCTTCAGATGGTACGCCCGAAAATGAAATGAATTAGTATCATTGTCTTTCGAAAAAAAAAACTGATAAGACACGAGTAAAGTTTATGCGAGTATTTAACAAAGAATCAAGCTCTTGGACTCGGATCACAAAAATCACAATCTCACAATCTGTATAAACATTTGCGGGTTATCTTAGATATATTTTATGGACTCAAGTCATGAAAATAAAAAATTGGAATGAGAGTAGGGTTGCCATCCGTACTTTATTTTAAAGTGTTGTACTCTATTTCGACTGTGCGTACGTTATACCTTACAAGACACATAAAGTACACAAAAATACTTTATTTAAGGCCTTAAGTAAACATCGTAATTTTGTAAGCGATTATTCGAAATTCAGAGTATTTTTGCATCAATAATATTGCACAGAAAAAATAGCAAGCCATATTTACGGAACAATCTGATTTCCCAAATCTCTTCAAAGTAGTGTCACTTTTTCTGTCCGTTCCGGCCACTTCAGCATTTACAGAAAGAGTATTCTCTATTATGAACGCAAAGTGGCGGGACGACAGGTATGTTTATACTTCATTAAAACTAATTAAAAATGAACTTTTAGTTTACTTAAATCTTTGTTTGCCATGTTTAGAGGCTATTAATGTATTTAAGAGCGACAGCAATTTGTTACTGGCTGCTAGGTGTAACAAAAAATATGTTTTTAAAAACAAAAAATAAAATACTTTATTTTTATGCTGAGTACTTTTTTTTNACTGTATTAATGTTCAAATTTTAGATAAAATCACAAATATACCGAATAAAAAAAGCATTGCTTATTTTTGAAAATGAAATGGTTTTGTAAACATTTTTTTGTGTATTTAAATATGATATAATAACTTTTTATCCACATTAAACAAATATAAAAATCTAACTGTACTAATTTTATCTCACAAAATTAAATGGTTTTGATTTTGATAAGTAATTTTATTGCTTTCAAGTTAATTATAAAAATATTGCACATCCAAGTTTAAGGTTTAGTTCAATCCAAAATAAATTGTAAAATAAATACAAATAGTTTAATTTTGAGTTAATATTTTACGATTTTTATTCTGTAACTTACCAATGACGTTGAAACAATCAACACCTTTACTTACTGTATCTCTGTACTTATGGAGTCCTTCGAGGAGATAGTCGTTTAACTTCCATATCTTTGAAACCAACCCCCGCATCTGAAAACGGGAACCTTCTTCATGGACGGCGGATAGAAGGCTACTGCGGAATATTAGTTTTGTTTTGTTAAAAACTTTTACCCTTGCACCGTACAAAACTGCAGAGAGGAATTATAAATCAAAACAAACACACATGCAAAACATACAGTTCAATGTAGGCGTGATCTGCTTCTAAATCCTGTTAAAATGATTCCTTTTGAACATATCCACCAGGGGTCACACGTGACGCATAACGTGACGCGAGACGTTACACTGTTCGGTTTTATACCCTAGTAAATCCAATAAAGAAGTTTCACTTCAAAAAATCAGATTTCTGCTCGAGCTACACGTGTATAAATATAAATATGTGCCCATATTAATGTCTTTAATGCATGCGCTAAAGATAACGGTAAATCAAATCTAAAGCCTTCTTACTTACAAAAGATAAATAAATTACATAACCAACTTTTTCCGGATGCCGACTGATCTAAATTTAGTGTTCTAATAAACCAGGTCACAGTTACTTTTGAACTTCTTCTGTTGATGTACATGCATGTACATACATCACTGCTTACCTTTATGAACTGTATTTAATGTTGTTAGATTACTCTTTTGATATAAACAGGGCATTGCTTTTAATCACTTTAAAATTCTATTGAACGTTTCATTGCAGATTGCACCTTCTCTAAACAGCAGTAGTCATTCCAGCTCAATCCTTTCGTAAAAAGTTTAAGAAACTCCATATTATAAATTGTTTATTGTTGGACATGAAATCGTTATAAATTTTAAGTTCTATATATCCCCTAGAGATAGTTTAAATAAAATGGAAGCGGTACTGACAGATCAGTACTGTATGAAAATAAATAAAAGTAAAGCTAAAATAATGGTATGCAAGAAAAAGTAGGGAAAGAGGGAATATAAAGATAGGAGACAAATAATTATAAGAAATGGCTGATTTTAGATACCTAGGAAGTCAGATAAGTCAGGATGGAAGGAGTAGTAGGGATATATAGCAGAAGATAACGCAGGGTCGTATCGCCTTTGATAAAAAGAAGTCACTTCTATGCTCGCGAACGGTTAATTTAGAATTTCGAAAAAGGTTGTTAAAGGTGTATGTTTGAAGCGCGGCGTTGTACGGGTGCGAAACATGGGCAGTGGGCGTGGCGGAAAAGAAAATGTTAGAAGCGTTCGAAATGTGGAGTTATAGGCGGATGGTGAGGATAACGTGGATAGAAAAGGTTAGAAATAAAGAGGTATTAGAAAGAATAGGAGAACAGAGGACTCTATGGAAGTCAATAAAAAATAGGCGAGATAGGTTGGTAGGACACCTTCTCAGGCATGAAGGTCTAGTCAGAGACATATTAGAAGCACAAACAAGAGTTAACAGAGACCTAGATTAGATTACTGTTCGCAAATAGTTAAGGATGTGGGATGTTCTAGTTTTAGGGAAACGCGAAGTTTAGCTCAGGATAGGAAAGAGTGGAGGTACGTGTCCAACCAGTCTTAGTACTGACGACCTTATGATAATGATATCCCAAAATGATTTGAGTTCCGTATGTAGGCCATTTTTCACCACCCCTCGGGTATGAAGTAATATTTTGTTGGTAAAACAATTGAGCAGTTATATTCATCGAGAGAAAATTCGCAAAGGCTCTGGATTTGGACAAAATGATAGACATTTTTACATCATTAAATAAAAACATTACATAATATATGGAGTTTATAGTTTATATCGGGTAAGAGGATGATCGGGTAAGTTAATATTCGAAGTGGACAAGCACATGGGCCAGAATATTTAATGCAAGAGCAGCAAATTATTGACTCAAAATTTAAAATTTTATAGAGACGAAAAGTCATCGGTTTAGAAAGATTTACCCCATTAACTCTTCAAATTCCTTGGTATAGGAAAGCATCAAATTTCGGGACAATCCTCGACGCCTGTTGGACATGAGGTTACGTTTTTCCAGTAGAAATACCGAATTCAAGGAAATGATAATTTTCTATAAAGTTGTATGAGTTATTACAGACATAGTTAAATGCATTATGTCTACATGCATCAATTTCATCATCTACATTCAATATGTTTTCAATCAATACAGGATTGCTTTCCTGCAACACGATTTCAATGTGCTTAACAAAAAACATTTCTATCTCACATCGAAAAAAAGGACTTCCTTTTGAAATCAAGGAACTCTATTAAGTATGCCAGTCTGACGGTTTCTGTCGGAACATCCTGTACCTAATCGGTCACAAAGTTCTTCCACCTTTTGGTGGAAGAAAGCGTTTTAGATCGTGAGTCTTGTAGTTCCGTTCTTTACTGACCTGAACCAAATCCGTTCGAGTGAGCTTACTCCACCGTTTGTCAACTTGTTAGTTAGTAGAGACTGACGACGTGCTTTAATTATATTATATTTTTAGTTAGTTGGTCAAGTGAGAGCTGTTCCGTCCGTCATCAGGTCTCATGTTATTGTAATTGTAAAATATACAACAGCAACAGTAAGCAGTCGAATGGTTGCTTGGTGGGGAACTGGCTGGTTGACGTAGATCGCTGCATGAAATATCAACCACAACGGTTTGCACTTCCATTCAAAAGAGTCTCGAACGTCGTTGTGATAGTAGTCGAGTTTTTAAAGACCTGCTTGCTTTCTCTGTTTGCGTAGTGTTGTGTAGATATATTTTAAGTTTGCTAGTGTGCTGTCCAGTGATTGTATAAAACAGAAATCTTAGTGGTTGTTTTGTTTCCTTAAAAATATAAAAGAAGAAGATACTGTGACTGGTTCCAGAACCAGTACGCGCCGATCTTTTTGAACTTCTGTGGAAATAGTTTCCAAAAATGTGCGTGTCCAATATCGCGATGCTACCAATGTATCTGAACGTTGTAGCATCTAAAGGGAAAGATGCGTACACAGGATTAATTTCGGAACTGACGTGCACCAAGTGCAGAACGATTCCGGTGAGTTAAATAGTGAGAACTCTTCACATACAAAATTTTTAAAGTCGGATATTATAGAAATCATAAATTTAATGTTTGCGTTATCACGTTCTGTAGTTGTAAATTAAACCTAAACGTGTTTTAAATACGTAAATCCATTAAACTTAAAACCTTGTAAATTGGTACAAAAACAAAAAAAATACTGTTATTAAATGATTTCAGTTAAATACCTAATGAAACCAAAAAATCGCTGACGTACTTTAGAGAGATACTTACATTTTTTATTAAGAAAAGTTTATTTTAAACTTGGGTACATGTACTTACATACGTTACTTCCTAGGTTGGGGATTTAGGAATAAAAAAAAAGAAAGAACGTAAATTACCGCTGTTTGTTGAGATATTATTGGCGACATGCATTTACTAATAAGATACAGCAATAATCTCAAGCTGTATGCGATTATTTTGCAATTAATCAATTCATTAACGATTTTATTCCTACTGGAAATAAGTCAAATTGATAACAAAGTTCATTTCCATTTGAACTTTTTTTACAACTTCACGATATCACGCCATCACGCATCTTATTAATGCAAAAAAAAATATATTTTGCTGACTAGAATCTGAAAATTTTTTGTATTTATGGTGTCGTTTTGAAGTCGGCAATAGAAAAATATAATATAATTTTTATGTTAATTTTAATTTTTTTTTATAATTTTTATGTTACAATTTTCGATTGTAAATTACTGAATTTGCNATTATTTATTATAAGTAAGTTAAAAGTTGATTTTAATTCTACGTTTATTCCTATTGTCAATAGTCGGCCATTTTTTTGTTTCACTATGACGTAGTGTCGGCCATCATTATTTTCTTATTGTTGTCGTATTGTTGCAGTTGTCGGCCATCATTCTTCTGTAATTGTTGTCGGATTGTTACTGATGTCGGTCATTATGATTTTTTAATTGCTGACAAAAAAAACGCTCTATGACAATGTACAGTAATCAAAGAAAACTTAAACCTCGATTTAATGATTACTTTAACCATCGCAAAGGGTGTGTCTTCAATAATGTATTTGAAATGGAATATCTTTTAATTTAGTTTATCTATAATTTGGGGGTAAATAAGTTTAGATTACGAGCATTATTACTGATTAAAGGTGACGACCGTAATAAAGAATTTAACGAAATGTCAACATGTAAAAAAAGCGTACGTGCAAAGTATTATCCATCATGATTATTTATTACAAGTTAATTGAAATAAGATTTCATTTGTACTTTTATTTCTATTGTCAATAGTCGGTCATTTCTATTGCTCCACTGTTACGTATGTCGGCCATCATTGCTTTCTAATTGTTGTCGTATTATTATTGAAATCGGCCATTATAGTTACCGATTGCAAGGTGACCATCCCAATAAAGAATTTAAAGAAAAAACATGTATAAAAAAGACGAATGTAAATAGATTTTAGTTCTACATTTATTTCTATTTGTCAATAGTTGGCCTGTACCTGCTTTTGTCACCCCTTATTCATAAATTTTCATGGGAGTTCTATACTTCCTAGCAATAATTCAATAGTTATCGAAAGGATACACCGGTGCTTCTGCACCTTTAATTATAAAATTGAAAATATATCAATTTCGAGGTGTTAAATTCATGACGCACCCTCTTATCGCCGAAAAACAGTACAGATACCTATATTAGATAAGAAATAAAAAGTTGTAATGTTCCTATAGTTTTTTGCAAAGAGTTCTGTAAATAATGTTGCGTAAAATTTGAAAAGATTTCTCTTTTCAAATTTTGACCGGAGTTCTTAGTAATTCCTAACTGCATCGAAAAGGTCTTTTTGCCTATTTGCGAGAACTAGATTGTTTATTTAATTGAGAAATTCAGCCACTAATGATTGGTCTACGAACTAATTCGTGACATATTACATAATTAGCGTTGAATTTTATTTAGGCCGGAATACCACAGGCTCTTTATTTTTCACACCTGAAGTCATATATTTCCACCCCAGAACTCTGCAGTGCTGGTTATTTTTCCACCGAAACCAGTATATTCAGCGAGTTACAAGCCCACAAAAAAACCAAATATTTAATGTAATATTTCACTGTTTATTAATTAAGTACATTGACCAATAAAATCGGATTGTGTATAATTATTAGCAATTGTCGATTAAGCAACACATTTCACAATAATCATTATTAATTCCCAAACAAGAAACTAAAGAAGTCTTCGTGTCTAGTGTAATGTTTTATACATACTGTCGATGCCGTGCTCATTGAACTATGTTGCCTTCCGGTTGTGAAACGTGACATTTCCGGTTTTGATTTCGTGTGCATTGAACCGCGGCCTAAAGGAAAACAGCGATAGAATGCGAAATCAAACAAATTTCTGCACGCATTCCGCCATGCAAAAGAGCAAATATGTACGTAAATGCGATGAGGACATTGGAACCTTTTTTTTTGTCATTTAGCTCACGTTTGGGCGTTTCTATTTGCACACAGAATGACAATGTTCAAGCTGGCGTTTTATCTAAATGCAAACAATGTTTTAGACTATCAGTGACATTGGATAATAATTGTTATTGCTTTACAATAGCGATACAACGCGCTAAAAATTTTCCTTTCCTAAAATGCATAGATACAGGCAGCACGATGTACTACTTCTAATTTACAAACTTATAACATTTAGCAAGTTTTTATTATAAAGCTTTAAAATGGAAGATACTCTAGAAAATTGAATTGAATAAAAATAATGTCAAATTTCCCGAATTCGAACCAAAGAAAGTAATCAGTAATTCGAAGAAAAAAAATACAACTTAAAACNTTTGACATGTTTCTTTAAAAATTACTGCAAGTTTTCTTAATTTGTGATATCAACTAAAACGCCTAGTAAATTTATTTTTGCTGGGTTTTTATTATTACAAATTCGAGTCCATATTGTAATTTTTATTATTTTCGCTTACGAAACAACGGGCTAGTGGGATAAATTGTAAATATCGCTTTAATATCTAAGTAAATTTTCGTTTTTCATTTTCTCCGTGAAGTTTATTGCTTTTAATTTGATGTCGAACACACCCATTGACGTTATAATGTTGCTTATATAGGTATATAAATATAAATGATGTAACGGACTCAAAAGAATTAATTCGCTTTATTGGAAAATTTTGTAGGTCAAAATTTTGACGAATTAATTTTGGTTACAGTCGAAAGAAAAAAATATCGATATACCGGGATTCTGGAGTTCGCAAAGTAGACCTAATGAAAAAACCCCGGAGTCGCCAAACACGACGTTCAAACGATGGCGTAGAAGTAGCGGAATTAAGCCGCAATCCCTTAAATCTAGCTCGAAACCACCCCCGTCGGATAAGAGCCAAAATGAGGAAATGTCGCTATTGAAATTTCTGGCAATTGTAAGTATTAGTACATAGGAAAAAAATGAATCGAAATGAGTTGCTTGAGTAATTTGACCGAAAATTCAAAAGATTGCGAAAGTATTGCGGAAGATTTTTGTACTTCATGTTTTAATTCACATTCAAATTCAGTTATGTATCTACCACGTAGGTATAACGCGGAAATGATTTTATGCAATAGTGTCTAGATAATTTCTACGTGGTAATGTTTGCTCAATACCATTGCAATAATTAATCTCTTGAACAAAATACATACCTACCTACTGAAAAGTTAATTTCGATATTTAATTCACAACATTCACAGCATACAAATCAGTGTATTTCTTAATAAGCGTAAATAAAAAATAGTTTTATAAAGTTTCAAAATTCTTTTTATTGCTCTAATTGTTTAGATTTCTTCTTTTTCTTTCAGTCAAAGCAATAACAGACTGAAAATGTTCTTTTTTTTTTAAACATAATTGACGATTTCGTGAATGTGTTTGATATTCCTTAAAAATCGGTAATTTTTAAATTTAGCGGTTATTTCACATTCTGTTTGCGTCAAGATTTCTAATTTTTTTAAATTATTAAACCTGCCAAAATCATAGTTTTTCTGCAATGTTGAGGAAAATCTCGGTGTATCGTGTTTTTTTTTTTCATAGCTTTAGTTTCACCGATTTTGGAGATATAAAGACATATTTTTTACTCAATTTTTCGATAGTTTCTTTAAAAAAGTAATACCTGTACAAAATAAAAGCGCATCAAACCAAATATTTAATGTAATATTTCACTGTTTATTAATTAAGTACATTGACCAATAAAATCGGATTGTGTATAATTATTAGCAATTGTCGATTAAGCAACACATTTCACAATAATCATTATTAATTCCCAAACAAGAAACTAAAGAAGTCTTCGTGTCTAGTGTAATGTTTTATACATACTGTCGATGCCGTGCTCATTGAACTATGTTGCCTTCCGGTTGTGAAACGTGACATTTCCGGTTTTGATTTCGTGTGCATTGAACCGCGGCCTAAAGGAAAACAGCGATAGAATGCGAAATCAAACAAATTTCTGCACGCATTCCGCCATGCAAAAGAGCAAATATGTACGTAAATGCGATGAGGACATTGGAACCTTTTTTTTTGTCATTTAGCTCACGTTTGGGCGTTTCTATTTGCACACAGAATGACAATGTTCAAGCTGGCGTTTTATCTAAATGCAAACAATGTTTTAGACTATCAGTGACATTGGATAATAATTGTTATTGCTTTACAATAGCGATACAACGCGCTAAAAATTTTCCTTTCCTAAAATGCATAGATACAGGCAGCACGATGTACTACTTCTAATTTACAAACTTATAACATTTAGCAAGTTTTTATTATAAAGCTTTAAAATGGAAGATACTCTAGAAAATTGAATTGAATAAAAATAATGTCAAATTTCCCGAATTCGAACCAAAGAAAGTAATCAGTAATTCGAAGAAAAAAAATACAACTTAAAACGTCATGCCCGTAATCGAATCTCGAGTTAGAGAAAAGTAGAAATTCGAGTTAAAAAGTTTGGAATACATGTAAAACAATAAATATGTATGTCAATTGAACAATATAATATTCGAGCTAAAAAATAGGTACTTTGAGTTACAGAAATTTCACTGTATAATTATTTTAACTTTTAAAGTTACTTTCTAGTTTAATATTTTAATATTTTGTTTGATTATACGCAACAAATTTCACCAAAAAAAGTACTTAATTCGTATACTATAAAAATAACATTATTAATGCGNTGTACGATTACACGTACATTTAGTTATATTTTATTTACGATTAGAACTAGTATCAGTGGTCTATTTAAAATATTCTCTGCAATTTAAGTAAAAGATAATAAATTGATTATACATAATTCTTAATACTCTACGTATGAATATTTTATTTGAATGACGCCGCTTTTTCTAACAAATACTAGAAAAAGTTTACTTTTATTCGAAACCGTTTTACGAAACATGAAATTCAATCTTATCTTGATCGGTTTATTTTATTACACACCGTGTATGTGGCGTACAAGTAGGTAGACACAATGGATACAATTACGAAATAATACCTACAAGTAACATATTATGTATGTACTTACACCAAGCAATACTTGAAGCCGTACTTGTTCTGTTACTTGGCTTATTACTCTCAGAAATTTATATTTTTCCCGCAGTTTCAATCAAATGTAATGTTTTATTTCTCTGAGTGCGAATGTCGGTATCACAGCGAGGCGTAAGCATAATCTTATCGATAGCATTTCATAAGCCATTATAGCATTTTTTTTTTAACGACACACATTGTATAAAATGTTTCATTTTTAACATTGTGTGTAAAAAGTAGAATTATAATTTCTTGAAAGGTTATATTTACCACTTTTTCTACTTTTTAGATTTAGATTATTATTTTGTGCTTCTTTTTACGTAAGTCCAAAGACATAAATAATGCTAGTTAAATTATGTATTCATTACAAATTAGTTTTAATTATGTTAGTTTCGAAATTGTACCGAAAAGCGCCAGGTTTTAGCAGATTTTTCAAGATATAAATTTAAAATTCAAATGCTAACGTCCCCACAACAACAACATCCTCTTTACGATTAGCATTGCTAATGATTTCGGAAAGTTATAATATTTAATTATTCGAAACCAGACTGCGCGGTGTCATTTTATGATTTTCGATTCCATTTAACGTTTCGTTCTTTGTTTTATTTAATAATATATGCCTCTTTTGTTACAGAATGCCTTAGATCTAAGCGCGCCAGCGAGTGATGTTTTGCTGAAGAGTCGAAGCAATAGCTGGTTCCAGCTGAGTGGGCATCCAGATTCATTAGCACCCGCAGGACCGGGTACAGTCTGGAAGAAATTGGGATTTCATTCCGACAATACAGAACGAAAGGTGTACGAAGAGTTGTCACAAGATCCTAATCTACGTGACATTATTCCCAAATATTATCGGGAAGTGGAATACAAAGGAGAAAAATTCATCGAACTGCAAGACCTCCTACATGGGTTTAGGGTAAGCATCACAATATCATATTTTTATCCTGACCAGAGTCTCACGATTGAAATATACCTGGTTTATCAAAAAATCTTACTTATTTAAAGAACTATTTTCATTGTTACAGGATCCTCACGTGATTGACATCAAAATGGGAACGCGAACGTTTCTGGAATCAGAAGTCGAAAACACCAAAGCTCGCAGAGACTTGTACCAGAAAATGATCTCGATAGACCCATCTGCTCCGACTTCGGAAGAACACGAGATTCAAGCAGTCACCAAACTGCGATACATGCAATTTCGAGAACTTCAGTCTTCCACTTGCAGTCATGGATTCAGAATAGAAGCCATGAAAACTAGAGGATATCCACCAGTCACGGATCTTAAGACTGTTAAATCCGATAAAGACGTTACAAGCACACTAAAAATGTTCTTAAATGGTCATGAGAAAGTGAGGAAGAAGCTGCTGAAAAGACTGTGTGAAATAAGATCAAAAGTCGATAAGTCTGATTACTTTCAGACACATGAAATCATTGGAAGCAGTGTGTTTATTATTTATGATGATGAAAAAGTGGGAGCTTGGATTATAGACTTTGCTAAAACGAACAAGCTTCCTGAAGGCGTTACAGTAGACCACCGAAGCCCATGGGTGCAAGGAAACCACGAAGAAGGCTTCCTTTTTGGCCTCGATCAACTTATCACGGTAAGCTGTTCTGTATTTTTATTTAATTTTCTTGGTCTTTTACTGTCGTTTTTAAATCGTCAACATATTTTACAATTAAATAATTATTTTATAATCGTAATAAGACCATTTTTTCTGGCAATTATTTGAAGAATTTAATGAACATTTTTTGTAATAACAAAGCTAATTATGTTTTTGTTTTTCTCTTCAGACTATCGAGGAATGTGGTTCAAAGTAAATTAGTGACAATTTTACTTAATTAAAGAACAAACAAACTTGCTGCCATATGAATGAATGTTAGTGTTAGTCGGAGAAGAACTGAAATATTTGTAGGAAATTGTGAAATTGTACCTACACGATAGAATTTTGAAAGTATTATTAATGTAACTTGAACTTATTTAAAACTTATTTTTATTTGTGAGACTTTGTATTTTCTAGTCATTTAGTTCTTAGGGTTGAATTGAATGAATGTAAAAAGGTGAGATAAGAATGAGTTTTGTACTTACTGTCGCTATTATTATATTAATTATTTTANCGTTGAATTTTATTTAGGCCGGAATACCACAGGCTCTTTATTTTTCACACCTGAAGTCATATATTTCCACCCCAGAACTCTGCAGTGCTGGTTATTTTTCCACCGAAACCAGTATATTCAGCGAGTTACAAGCCCACAAAACGTAAAAGCACTTCACACCTCCGGAACATTTTCCACCTAGAGCTCCAGGGTGCTGGCTATTTTTTTACCGAATGCAAATTAAGTATATTTAGTTTTGATTTCATTTATATAAGAATCAGTATCTCTTACTATTCGCAAGTTTCTGCAGTAGTTCCAATAGCATGAGATAATTTATATTCAAGAAATTGGAGAAAACAAATACCGAAATAGTGTACAAATGTGTTATTTGAGTTGCCTATGCTACGATCCATTTATTTCTTTAATAAATATACAATTTGCTTTGACGAATGTCAAAAGGTGAAGATGAACAGATCTGCCATAGATAAGAGATATACATATAGTGGGTCAGTATTAGATATTTTTATCTATAAGATGAAATAAATTATCACGCTGGCTAGCGGTTTCCATCTTGTCCAGTCGTTTACTTGTCGTCGCTGCGTTACTGCTTACGTTTCATGCTTTCGATCTTGTTAATTGTATTAAATATGTAGTTGCTGTTGTTTATTGTCCAAAAATAATGTGATAATTCGGGAATTTAGTTATACAAAACATTAGAAAGATTATTTGATTATAATCAAGTTTATTGTTCATCAAGATAATAATAAAATACATTTCATGTTGTTTTAAAGACTGAAGCGTGTATTGAAAACAGTTTAATTAAGTAAAAAATAGTACCAAACAAAAGTGATCTTCAGTGTGTTTTTTTTTCTTAATCAAATGGAGTTGAGCATCTAACATCGTGTCCAACATCCATTGTCCAATCTTCATACTGTCTTCAAAGTCGGTAAGTTATTTTATCAATTATTAAGTTATTTTCGGTATACAAAAATGACCCGCCGATTTAATTGAAGTATGAAATCATCCACACCACGTTTTATAAATTTAATATAGATAAATAGATAGAAATATTTATATTTTCTTCACATTAAAAATGCTTCGCAAAATTAAGTAGTAGAATCTATTTTCAGCCTGAAAAACTGTTGTTAGTTAAAATTAGGAAACGTTATCATAAAAAATTAATCCTATTAGTTACTCTAACATCGCTAATCTTCAAATTTTGTATTTTTTTAGAATTATAACAAATTGCAAATATAATTAATGAATAATTTTTATTCCATCCAGTTCCAGTCGGCCTGTACCTGCTTTTTTACCCTTTATTCATAAATTTTCATGGGAGTTCCATACTTCCTAGCAATAGTTCAATAGTTATCTAAAGGGTACGTCCATTGTACTTTTAATTAACTTATAATAAATAATCGTGAAGGATAATACTTTTAAACATTTGCTTTTTTATACATATGTTGTTTCGTTAAATTCTTTATTGGGTTAGTCACCTTGTAATCGGTAATAATGCTCTTAATCAACCTTAGTTGCCCCCAAAGTTATAGATAAAATAAATAGGAAGAAGAAAAATCAACAAAGGTAAAAAAAAACGAATGTTTAAAAGTACCTATTATCCATTACGATTATTTATTATAAGTAAGTTAAAAGTTGATTTTAATTCTACGTTTATTCCTATTGTCAATAGTCGGCCATTTTTTTGTTTCACTATGACGTAGTGTCGGCCATCATTATTTTCTTATTGTTGTCGTATTGTTGCAGTTGTCGGCCATCATTCTTCTGTAATTGTTGTCGGATTGTTACTGATGTCGGTCATTATGATTTTTTAATTGCTGACAAAAAAAACGCTCTATGACAATGTACAGTAATCAAAGAAAACTTAAACCTCGATTTAATGATTACTTTAACCATCGCAAAGGGTGTGTCTTCAATAATGTATTTGAAATGGAATATCTTTTAATTTAGTTTATCTATAATTTGGGGGTAAATAAGTTTAGATTACGAGCATTATTACTGATTAAAGGTGACGACCGTAATAAAGAATTTAACGAAATGTCAACATGTAAAAAAAGCGTACGTGCAAAGTATTATCCATCATGATTATTTATTACAAGTTAATTGAAATAAGATTTCATTTGTACTTTTATTTCTATTGTCAATAGTCGGTCATTTCTATTGCTCCACTGTTACGTATGTCGGCCATCATTGCTTTCTAATTGTTGTCGTATTATTATTGAAATCGGCCATTATAGTTACCGATTGCAAGGTGACCATCCCAATAAAGAATTTAAAGAAAAAACATGTATAAAAAAGACGAATGTAAATAGATTTTAGTTCTACATTTATTTCTATTTGTCAATAGTTGGCCTGTACCTGCTTTTGTCACCCCTTATTCATAAATTTTCATGGGAGTTCTATACTTCCTAGCAATAATTCAATAGTTATCGAAAGGATACACCGGTGCTTCTGCACCTTTAATTATAAAATTGAAAATATATCAATTTCGAGGTGTTAAATTCATGACGCACCCTCTTATCGCCGAAAAACAGTACAGATACCTATATTAGATAAGAAATAAAAAGTTGTAATGTTCCTATAGTTTTTTGCAAAGAGTTCTGTAAATAATGTTGCGTAAAATTTGAAAAGATTTCTCTTTTCAAATTTTGACCGGAGTTCTTAGTAATTCCTAACTGCATCGAAAAGGTCTTTTTGCCTATTTGCGAGAACTAGATTGTTTATTTAATTGAGAAATTCAGCCACTAATGATTGGTCTACGAACTAATTCGTGACATATTACATAATTAGCGTTGAATTTTATTTAGGCCGGAATACCACAGGCTCTTTATTTTTCACACCTGAAGTCATATATTTCCACCCCAGAACTCTGCAGTGCTGGTTATTTTTCCACCGAAACCAGTATATTCAGCGAGTTACAAGCCCACAAAACGTAAAAGCACTTCACACCTCCGGAACATTTTCCACCTAGAGCTCCAGGGTGCTGGCTATTTTTTTACCGAATGCAAATTAAGTATATTTAGTTTTGATTTCATTTATATAAGAATCAGTATCTCTTACTATTCGCAAGTTTCTGCAGTAGTTCTACTAGCACCACCTCTATTGTAACATTTTACACCCCCGAAACTTTTTCCACCTTAGAATTTTGATATGCTGATCATTTTTCTACTGAACGTGGAATATTTGGTGAGTAACAAGCCTAAAAATGAGTATCCCTTACGAAACGCAAGTTTCTACAAGACTTCTAGCTAGAATTATTTCACACCCGCGGTACTGTTTTCCACCTTACAATTCTGAGGTGCTTACCATTTTTCAACCCGTAATGGCATATCCCCAATTGACCATTTAAAATACGTGGAATAGTTTTTTTCACCCCAGAACTCCGGGGAATGAGCCTTACAAAACGCAAACTTGTACAGGTCTGATGCTCGAACCTGGCGGAAATTTTAAAATAGCGTGGATGCGCGGTGGCAAAAGTAGACAGTTTTAGGTATAACGATTGCAGCCCTCTTTCTTCAGTATCCCTATCAGAGGCGTAGATTAAATATTTAAACTGGCCGAGCGGCATGGCCTAGAGGTTTAGACCATTGCTTAGCATTCGGGAGGACGCCGGTTCGATTCCTGGTCCGTCTGCCTTGGTCCAAGTTTTTCTGTGGTTTCCTTGGATCACCTAGGCCAGGGATGGCGAACCTTTACGTATCGACATGCCATTTTTATAAAAAAAAGTTTAATTAGATCATAGACGTGCCATCAAATAATTGTGTCTCTGTGATTATTGCCAAAATAATAATGATAAATAATATCAACTCAAAATTCTTTATTTACTGCAAAAAATAGGAACATTTTGCAATGTTTAAATTATAAGTGTAATTTAAATTAAAGTAAAATTAGTGTGATTTCTGTTGTTGCAGATTAGATGACAAATAACTTATGTTAGGGTTGTAAGATATGTTACTTTTAACAGAATGCGTGCTGAACTGAAGTCATCTGTCAAACGGTTTCTGAAAATTCCTTGATTAAAAATCAATCACAGAAACAAATTCTTTAGTAACTTGGTCTTCGCCTGTATTTCTAAATTGTTGTTACATTTTTTCAAATTTGGAAAATACTTGTAGTTTCTTGTGATGATGTCGTTATTTCAAACAGGCAGTTTAGCCTCAATAGCGCCAATGACATCTATCATGACGGTAATTGTTTAATTTATCCCTTGAAGCTTCAAGTTTAAATTATTTGACCTGACGTGCCCAAAATATTGTGTCGTGTGCCACTAATGGCACGCGTGCCATTGGTTCGCCATCCCTGACCTAGGCAAATGCTGCATCTGTCTTCATTTCGTCCGCCGCAACTTTCTCACCCGAACCACCACCCACCCATTCCCACGATTCCTAAAAGCAGGCTGAAGAGGGCCTTCCGCCCTACCTTCCGACACCCAAAAGTTTTAGTTTTTAATATTTAAAATAAATATCTGAAAGCTTATTTGTGTATCGGTTCCGAGTGACTTACCCAAATAGGTCGTAGATGGGCAAGTACCTACCTGCGCAACCGTTCGCCAGCTTCCTTCGTCCGGCCTGTACAAATAGCAGCCCTGACCAGAACTATCCCCAATTGAGTATTTTACACCCCCATCTCGTTGCTAATATATATATTTTAAAGTCTAAATCTTTAGTGACCGAATTTTTCAATTAATTTCTAAAGAATCGAATTTTCCGTAAATGTAAGCGAACTTTTCGACACAACTCATTAGGGACTGCCTATATCTCCTGTCAAAACTTGAAAAAGAAATTTTTCAAAATTTTCAAATTCAGAACTATTTTTAATCAGGAAGCCTAGAACTCTTTATTCCTTATCTTTCCTAGGTATCGGAACTCTTTCTGTACTCTAAAAATATGCAGCATAAAATTAGCACCCCAAAATTTCATTTTTTTGAATTTATTGTCGAGGACTGAACTACTCTAAGAGAATGTAAATCAAACAAGAAAATTCAAAATTAATGAATTATTTTATTATATATTACATATAAAAACTATAACTATGGTGCTTATACCAAATTGTTTGAATTAGGCAAGTCAAGCCAATCATCTAATAAAAAGCACAAAGTTCCCTTTGCATTTCATAAAGTAAATCGTCTTCCATGATGTAAACTAGTTTTATAAGTTGGTAAAGAAAACAATTATTACTTTGTTCTTATGTACATAAGTTGAGTGATTACTTTTAAATAAAATATAAAGCATTGTCATATCCGATTAATTAAGTTTTTCTTGTGGGGTCAAATGGACTATTTCCTCTGTCTTTTCCCATATTTTCTTCACGAAATTATGTTGGGTAATTTCCCTTGATAAGCTCCTTTCTGCACAATCAGAAAAGTATTGTCCGGATATATTTTGTACTTCGGGTGACACAGCGAGGTAAATTGACGTTTGAGCTCCTTCAAGAGGTGTCTGAAATTACAACATTTAATTTATAAGAATTTTCAACACAACACTATTTGTTTAGATATATATTATTACACACACCTCAACTCAAGAGTAGTAATAGTTTATCTTAATTTTTTTAAATTGTTAATATAATAATAATTATAAAACACAAATGGTCAGTTTCGAGACAATAAGGGAGCGAAAAACACTCACGTATTAACACTCAAAAAAATAACTTGAATTTTCATTGAAATATATTGTAAAAATTCTATATGCTTTACCTTTGTCACCTGTTTTAATTGGAAAAAAGACACTGATGCCAAAATAGGGTTGCAAATAATTTTATTGTTGTAAAATAAACATCAATCATTTTATACCAAAATATTTACAACCCCTTTTTGTTTCTGATTTTTTACACATTGTAATAAGAGAGAAATGGAATCCATAGTTTCTTTAGCTTTTAGTTCATCTAATAAGTAAAGTTTTTCGAATCGTTTTCTAAGAATTTTGGATTATAGGCATTTATTAGCACACCACACACACAATATCTTGTAGTTTTCAGTTTTATTCAGCTAGCATATATCAATTCGATATTATTTTGCGGGCTGTTTTGTCGTAATTCATAGAATTTCGTAGTTCCTTGCTAAAGGTACGATAAGTGGTGATTTGGCAGATGCTGATATTAATTTGGAACTTCAAAATTCCATGGACTATGACATTGAACCCGGAAAACAATATCAATCTAATATTTTAGATTATCCATTTCCAAGGAATCTAGAATTTTTTAGGCTCTCTTCAGTTTCTAATAGAAAATACGTTTGGAAAAGTATTTTAAATAAAATACAGAATACTTCTCTCAAAAAAGTATTTAAATGCAAAATAAAAATAGGTATTTTTAATTTTGTATTTGCATTTTAAATGCAAGTATTTCAAATAAATCAAATCTCTGCTTACATGCACCTTTAATGATCGTTTTAGAATTTTCATATTAAGCAATCTCGAGCTCAAAATAGATTTTCTTTTGTTTAAGATCAACTAAGAATTTATCGACTGAGTTATTAGATTAAATGATAAGGTCCGTATCTTTTTGATTAATAAAACTATAAGTAAAAAGTCATAAACAAAAGTATGCAAAAGGCACCAAACACTTCAACACGTACATACAGTGGTGTCTACTTAAATTGGCGGCATATGGGAAACTTTTCTATTATTAATCTTAAGAAAAAAAGTTACTTTTTCTTAACTTAAGTAGACACACTGTGTATGTAACAAGAAGCAAATAATTTAATCACATATTTACCTTAAAATATAAGGTTGCAAAAAACTTGAATAGTATTGCCTGCCAACCCCTCATACCATTAAAAATGTCAGTGAGAATTGCACCAGGATGTAAAGCATTCGTAGTGACCCCAGTACCATCCAATCTTCTAGCTAATTCGATGGTAAAAACTATATTTCCTAATTTGCTGTTGGCGTAATTTATATATGTCGGAAAGGAACGTTCTTTGGGATATCGATCCAAATTATCCGGATCTAAATCCGCAATTCTATGCATTACAGAGGAAACATTTACAACCCTACTGGGTGCACTAGCTTTAAGTTTATCTGGAAGAATAAAAAAAATTTAATGTTTGCGACATATACTTAGTCAGTTCAGGTTGATTATAAAAAAAAATGTTAGTTGCTATTTACCTATAACTATTCCGACTCTGACAGTTCTAATCATCACAAACTTGACATCATATAATAAGTGAAATACAAAAGAATTACGAAAAGGTTCGGGAAGTGTCTTCTCGAAAAAATTGATAACCTACCACAATAATGAAAATCGGCTATTGGTAGACATTAATAGGGCAAATAACTAGGTTTTATCCGCGGCTTCGTTCGTATTGATGACGAAATAAAACTAATTTTTTCTATCCCTCAAGAACGATATTTTTTCTCAATAAAAGTGACCCTTCGTCCTTTCCTATACCCCTGACAATGTCTGTACAAAATTTTTTGATAGATTTTTTTCCCCGCGGCTTCACTCACGTTAATGTGCTAAATACGTATACAAGATCATCGACGACCACATAAAACAATTTTTTTTCCCTAGAGAACAATACTTTTCTGGGTTAAAGGTACCCTATGTCCTTTTCTGTACCACTGACAATGTGTCTACAAAAGGTTGTCCCTACGGCTTCGCTAGCGTTAATGTGCTAAATATGTGTAAAAGTAAAACTAATTTTTGGTATCTCTTGGGAACAGTATTTTTTCTGGTTGATGGTACCCTATGTCCTTTTCTGAACCCCTGATAATGTTGTATAAAACTTCATGATGATCGGGGTAGTTAAAGGGTAAAATCGTAGCAAAGAAACAAACTCACGTTGACTTTTTTTATGATATTAGTAAGGACACTCAGAGATTATTAAATTTGATTAAGCAATTTTGAATAGAAGATTATATTCAAGTCGATTTAGTTAACCCATTTGTGCTTGAGGTAATGCCAATTAAACTTTTGGTTAAAAACAATTAGTCATTAACACACAATTTTGTCAAACAGGACAGTGACTGTTTTCATATACAATATGCTTATGTTCTACATAAAAAGGATAAAATAAAAATAAATCATAGGGAATTGGACCAAAACGGTAATCAAGAAAAACAAACGAAATTTCGTTGGACGTTCCGCCACGTCACTACAACTTCCTCAGCAATTCATTTCGACTCTTCCTCCCGTTGTGACATTTTTAAAAACCTAGTATATGATTAGTCAATACATTTAATAGTATCATGTAAATTGGTGCTGGATAGTGTTGTAAAACATTGTTTAGAATAAATTTTATTTTTGGTTTTCAACGGAATCATGGTTTAATAAAAAAAAAAAATATTTTAAAAAAGTTTATTTTCCATTGAATACCATGAGAATTACTTGTTTATTTTACGTTTGGTGCTATAATATTTCATTGTTTTCGGTTTAATTATTTTAATTGTTTTCTTGAACAATAACCACTATCTCACTCAAATACTAAATTCATTGACTATTGGTCCAATTCACTTCAATTTATATACTTAAACTCAGAAATTGCATCACATATCGAAAAAAATGACGTATTGAATGAATAAAATGCATCAGCTTACCTATTAGTAAATGGGTCAACAAGAAACTACTGTAATAATTAACTTGCATAACAAAATTGTAACCATCTTCACTTTTTTTTCTCATTCTGTCGGCTCCGATTCCGGCGTTATTAACCAATATGTCTAGTCTTCCTTCAGTTTCATTGAAATCTTTCGCAAACGCTCTAACTGAGGCAAAAGAAGCAGCGTCATAGTTTTTTACTACTACGTTAGGGTTTCCAGTGATTTTTATAATAATTTTACGGGCATTTTCTGCCTTTTCTTTATTTCTACACGCCAAGATTACCCGTGCACCACGTTTTGCAAAGTCAAGGGCTGTATAGAAACCAATACCTGTGAAATAAGTATTTAATAGTTTTTAAAGATTTTTTTAAATCTCTGACAACTGCAATTACTTTAAATAAAATGCAAGCGGTATTGACAAAACGGTATTATACGAAGATAAATAAAAGTAAAACAAAAATACCGGTATGCAATGGAAGAAAAAGTAAGGAAAGAGCGAAATAAAGAAACGAGATAAAAAATGAAAAGAAGTGGTTGATTTTCGATATCTAGGAAGTAAGATAAGTCAGGACGGAAGGAGTAGTAGGGATATAAAGCCGAGGATAGCGAAAAAGAAGTCACTTCTGTGCTCTCGAACAGTTAATTGAAAAATTCGAAAAAGGTTGTTAAAGGTGGATGTTTGGAGCGGTGCGCTGTACGGGTGCGAAACATGGACGGTAGGCGCGGCGGAAAAGAAAAAGATAGAAGCGTTCGAAATGTATTGTTAGAGGCGAATGATGAGGATACTGTGGATTGGGATCCGTCAAATGGGCATACACCATCTGGTGGCAAAATTTATAACTCGAATGAGGGAAAAATTTACATAGAAACTGTGCACGCAAATTGTAAAATTGTTTATTAAAATAATAAAACACGTTAAAAAAGTAAAAATTTTTTTGATGATGGAGTCGACGAATTTTTCTTCTAAAGTTAAATCAAATAAAAGGTTAATATGTTCAGTGAAAAGCTGCAACAGCACTTCAGACATAGATCTTCACTCTTCACCTACATTAACTACTTTCCAATAAAAACTAACCGTTTTTAATATGTAAAAAATATATATTCGGAAAATTAGAGAAAAAAGTAAACTAATAGAAGCTTGGATGAAAGCAGTAGGTATCAAAGAAGTGAATTCCGGAATAAAAATTTGTTCACTTCATTTTAATGCACATGATTATATGTCAGCAAGAATTTACCATCAGCCATAACCTTAATATTTAAAACTGGAATCATACTAAAATTATAAAGTGAGAAATTATTTATTTCTGTGTAATCGATTTAACACAATTCTAATGATACGATATAAGTATTTTGAGGTTAAGAACCTACCTGCTGCAATACAAGAAAGTTGCAACGTTCTCTTAAATCGGCTTTGCACGTGCAAGTCATTGATATGATACTGCTTAAATCACCCAGAATCACCTCACCAATTATATAACGTGAATCACTTTAAATCCGATGTTTGTAAAAAGTAGACAGTAAACTTGACGGAATTTGAAGGCTAGCTTCCGGATTTGTTATTTCCGAATTTTATAATGTGATTGGCATTAAAAACACATCCCAATAGAGAAGGTTAAAAATGAAGAGACATTAGATAGAATAGGAGAACAGAAGACTCGCATTTTAGGATTAGGAGCCTACCTAGTACAACATACCAATATTACAATAATATGGGCCTTTTTTTTAATATGATGTTTGTAACTTTATAAACAGTAGGCACTAAACTTGACAATATCTAAAGGTTCAATTTCGCATGTATTTTAATAATACGACCGACATTAAAAGCACGTTCACCTCCCACAAAATTCCCTATTAAGGGGTTTGTGCTGGCCCAACCAAATACCACTTTATATCCACAATAAAATTGCACTGTAAGGTATAGGGTTGTTTAAGTTGTTCCCATTTGACGGATCTCAAAAATGAACACCAAAATTTATACGTAACGATTAATGGTTGTCGATGTTAGTTAATGACAATTTTGTTTATTCTCACCTGTATTAGCACCAGTTACAACGGCTGTTTTTCCTATCAAACAAGTATAACTTCTGTCCCATCCTACTGTTAATTTATTGTAAATTTTTAAAATAATCAACACTAGAGCAATAAACGTTAAAATTGTTAGCAAGTCCATTATAAATAACTCGCGTGTTTTCTTGTGCCGAAAAACAATTGTCTGGAGGTAGCGATTTCCATTCAATTACCGGAATTTAAGTATGATTGTGAATGTTTATACATATGTATGTGAGTATAATTCAGTAACTGATAAACGGCTGAATTCTTTATAAAAAACAAATAAAATGAATTTTACTGATAAGAATTATCTGTGTGTAGTGGCAGTTCGATCAATATTATAATACATTTTAAATTAAACGAAATTGAAATTGCGATATCAAAAAGCCACGCAAAAGGCAATTAAGATACAACAATCCTACAAACTTTATTATTTTTTTATTTTAATTGATGAATCAAATAAAAGAATTTATTGATTGATACTTTTGAGGTACTACAAAGAGTAGTACAACGAAGAGCGCTATGGAAGTCAATATAAAGCAGGCGAAATAGATTGGCCGGACATTTCAGGCGTGAAGGGCTAGAAAATATCACAAATGGCGCGGTAAACGCAATCTGTAGTACGATGCTACATTTTAGGATTACGTATGCTTCAACAAGGTCCATTTCAATATATGGATATATACTTGCTGAAATCGCGATTTCGATCTCGATCTGTTATATCGATTAGCTACGCCGGGATTCGTTTCAGCAAGTAGATATCCATATATTTAAATGGACCTTGTTGGAGCATACGTAATCCTAAAATGTAGCATCGTACTACAGATGGCGTTTACCGCGCCATTTGTGGTATTTTCTAAAACGCGCTGTTAAGACAGCAGGTAAAAGCAGAGCAATAATTTAATCCGAAACACAGACCAACTTTTACCTGCTATCTTAACAGCACGTTTTAGAAAAGACAGCAGGTAAAAGTTGGTCTGTTCTGTCGGAGCTGTCTGCGGCGAGCTGATGAAATCCAAAAAGATCGAAATCGCGATCCGCGTCTGGCAGTTTTGACAGAATACAGACCACTTCGAATTATTTTATTTTATATGAAGGGCTAATTAAGACCAGAGATATGCAAAATCATTTTTTAAAAGTGTTTAAATAAATACAAAATGCAAAACTCATTCACATAAAAAACAATATTATGTCTCATAACTTAGAGAACCGTCATGGATTTTTTTGAGACCTAAATTTACAAAATCCAAAATCATCAATATGGGTGGGATAGGGTAGTGTTAGTATGTACTTTGAACGTATGCATACCTGCTAACATAGACCGTGGGTCAAATTTGCAGATAGTAGGTGGTAAAGATACTTAAAAACATTACTCACTTATTTTAAACTAGCTTCGCACGGGTGCAATGCTGATACTAAATATATTTTTTTTTGTTTAGATTATTCTCGAGGAGGGGAAATCTTCAAAAGACACCCTCTGAACACACTAAATATTCTACAGAATGTCTTTATATACAACATTCACAGCTTTTTTGTCATTAGACAATACAAACCGGCCTCCCGGCCTGTACCTCCGCAACCGCTATGTCCCTACATTTTAAATCTGTAATATCTTCAAAAATATAAATTTAAATTACATGCTATACAGGGCCCTATTGATCTGTATTAAATGCACAATGTATTTTAGGTACTTAATTGGATAAGAATTAATGCTGTATTGCTTAAAATCGCTTCGTAAATAAGCCATTATTTCTCATAAAAAGTAAAGAATGAAAAATGATTGTTGTGGCTTATCCCTAAGAGATAGAAATATAACATCCCGGACTTTTTTGTAGACCTTTTCAAGATGTACAATATTGTAGTACATTATTTTGATATATCTCGTAGGGTTCAGCCAGCGTTTGCAATGTAAGCGCAAAAAATGTGTTTATTTACGACATCACATTAGAAACCTCTAAAATTATCAGTGTTTCCCTACTATATTATGCATGTATTATACATATAAACCTTCCTCTCGAATCACTCTATCTTTTAAAAAAAAACGCATCAGAATCCGTTGCGTATTTTTAAAGATCTAAGCATACATAGGGACAGACAGCGGGAAGCGACTTTGTTTTATACTATATAGTGATAGTGATAGTGAAGCTGAGTGCTGATTTTTACATAATGTTTCAGAGAATATTGCTAAAAATTAATAGTCAACACTTACCATCGGCGGTAATTTCTGCCAGACGCTTCAAAATTCGCAAAAACAAGTCGTAATTTTACTTATAATTTGAGTCTTCATTTTTAAATATGACACTTAGGGAAGTATTTCAGTACTTTTTGTAAGTAAAATGTCACTCTATTATAAAGATATCTAATTATCGCGCATGTGTTTGTATTCACTTGGAAGTAGAATTATGAATACTTCCGTTTGTATCTAGTGGTTGAGCACATGTGGAGATTCAAACGCATACACACCTCAAAACTCAGGAGTAGTAATAATTTATCTTAAAATTGTTGATAATGATTTATGTTGAAATTGTTTTATAGTAAAAAAATGAGTGAATTCATCGAAAATTATAAAAAACACGTTTGTGGTAAAACAGGGTAAAATATGACAAATGGTAAGCAACACTGCGCATATCCTGGTGAATTTTCATTATACAAAAAAGGATAGCAGAAGAAAATAAGAGTTTTTGCTAGGTCTATCTTTTCTTTGAACATTTATATATAGATACTTAAATTATCCAAGAAAAAAGTTATAGACAATTTAATAAGAAAAGACGGGAACTTTTTAAACTTTCAATTTCATTTTTTAATTATATTCGATACCAAAAATGGTAAAAAAAAGTAAGTGCCTTCTTCAGGATGGCCTCTTAAAAAAGGGGCACCTTGTGGTTTTATCATCTTTAGAGGCCAAACTACCATATTCAGTCATAAAACCTCAAACAATTGTTACGTCCTTTCTCTTCTTTTTCTCTCTATTCAAAAGTCTACATTGCAATAGTTTAATTTCAATGACTACTCGAACATGCATCTTCAAATCCTGAGTGAACCTTCTCATTTTCGTAAAACTAGATAGAACATCCTATATCAAATTCAACCTCGGCTGTTGCGTGAATTGCACTTGCCACTACTTAATTTAAAATACCATGCAAGAATATTTTATTTGTACTTCTTGAAATAAAAATAATTTCGTAATAAAACTTAATAAGGTATGCTAGACATGACAATAAATAAAACAAATATTTATTCGTAAATTATCTTTTCTTCACGAGACAAACACACTCTGTTCTCTGTATTTTCCCATATTTTCTTCCTGAAATCATACAGAGTGATTTTCTTCCCTAACGTTTCCTTTGCGCAATCTACAAAGTATTCTCCGGAAACATTTTGCACTTCCGGCGACACTGAAAGGTAAATTGACGTTTGCGCTCCTTCGACTGGCGTCTAAAAACAGAAAAATGAATACTGTTAATAATACTGTCAATAATACTGTCTTTTGCTCTTGTTATAACATTTGCCTGAACTTTATCAATGAATTCAAGTCATACCTTGTATTAAAAAGATAAGGAATAAGGTCAATAAAAGTAACAGATTAAAGTCATTAACTAAATTATAGCAGTGTATAACTGATTTCTTCAGTTACATTCCCTGTAACTTATAACCGAAAAACTAAAAGGAATACAGTGGAATCTCTCATGAACGTGTCCTTACAAGAGAATGTCTACTTATGGAAGTCATAACAATGCTTTTCTTATGGAAAGCGGCTGGGAATAGGAAAAACTTCCCGCTCGAGAGAGGCATCTGGTTTTAGAGAGGTGTCCCTAAAGGAAGTTTCCACTGTATTATGATTCGTTTCTATGAACATATATCCACACATCAAGTACAATTATTTAATTTAACAAAAAATCATTATCATCACAGGTTTTTCAGTCTGAAAACTGGTTGGTCACGCACTTCTCCTTCCACTAGAAAATTCCACACCAAATTCCTGGCTGTTTCAAAATATGGAGTAATCTGATCTATAGGGTTGTTCGGAAAGTCATTTCGTTTTTTTTTGTGGAAATAAAAGGCAGTTTTCGTATAATAAACAAATACTTTATTAAATTATATAATGACCGTTTTGGTCCAACACCTTTTGCCATATTTCTGGTGGTAGCATAATTCCACGCTCATAAAATTTTTGGTCTTTGCTGACAAAAAACTGATCTAGGAGGTTTTTGACCTCCTCATTTGAGGTGAAGGTTTTACCGTCTAAAAAATTTTGGAGTGACCGGAACAAATAATAATCCGATGGTGCCAGGTCTGGAGAATATGGTGGGTGTAGCATTGTATCCCATTCAAGCTGTAAAAGCTTTTGGCGAGTAACCAAACTTGTGTTAGGTCTCGCGTTGTCTTGATGAAACACTACACCTTTCCTGTTGATTAGTTCTGACCTTTTCTGTTGAAGTGGATCATTCAGTTTGTCCAGTTCCGAAATAATCGTTGTGTTATCCGGCAAAAGCTAAAAAAAAACGATTCCTTTAAAATCCCACCAAACAGACGGCATCACCTTTTTTTGGTGAATATCGGCTTTGGAAATGGTTTGAGCCGGTTCATCTTTTTTGCTCCATGACCTCTTGCGTTTGACGTTGATGTATACAACCCATTTTTCGTCCCCAGTAATGATGCGCTTCAAAAACGGATCATTTTCGTGACGTTTGAGAAGAGAATCGCAGACGTCAATGCGGCGACACAGATTTCTCTCTGTGAGAATATGGGGAACCCATACATCGAGCTTCGAGGATAATCAGGCCTTTCAAGTGGTCATAAACTGTTGAATTTGATAAATTTAACCTCAATCCGATCTCACGTGTTCTTATTCGCCGGTTCACATATACTAATGCCTTTATCGCGTCTTTATCAGCTTCAACCGGCCTTCCCGAACGTGGTACACCTTCGACATCAAAATTGCCGGATCGAAATTTAGCGAACCAGTTCTGGCACTGGCGTACTGTCAACACACCTTCTCCATACACATCAGTCAATTTCTTTCTGGCTTGAACAGCATTTTTACCCTTTCTGTAGTAAAACAGTAAGATATGTCGAAAATGCTGCTTATCGCTCTCCATATTTAAAAGGGCACCAACCAAAAACTACTGCGTAGAATTAATTGGAATTTTTCACACACAGCTCTCAAAGCATATAAAAATTATACGGCTTAAATGTGAAGTTGGGTGCAAAAGAATACAATTAAATCCTCTGTCGGGAAAAAACGAAATGACTTTACGAACAACCCAATACATCAATAGGTCTTCCTCTGCTTTATATCTGTCAAGCTAGCACACTCACATCACAATATTATTCACTGTAATGCTGTAATTAAAATTTTAGTGTTTCTTTCGTCGTTGTATCAAAATTGGTAGTGATTCTGATTGAAGGCCAAGGAAGCATAACCACGCCAAAATTTCTTAGTGAACGAGTTTGTTTCTAAAAGTAAGTCTGCTATAATTTAGTGTTTTTTACCGTGCTTTTGGAAGAACCAGCACCAAAATGTGTAATTACATCCGATATGTTATCGATAAAATTATACTTTCTTGCTTCCACATCCAAGTAGATAAGCTAGCTAAGAATAATGAATAAAGTTGATTAAGAAAATATCGTTAGAGGTGGGTAGACCAGAGTTCAGGTAGGGTAGAAACAAGTAGTGGGCAGTGATAGCAAACAGACTATTGTAAATTTAATGGAGTGACTCATTTTTGAATTTTCAGTAACTGTTTTGAAAAGATAACTTCTTGTTCCAATAACTCATTTAAAATTTTACTAAATTTATTATACTTCTAATAAAATAACTTAGCTTACCTTGAAGCAAATACTCGCAAGAGTTGCCAGTAGAAACTTTTGTATACCTTCTGCTTCATCGAAAATTTTGGTGAGAATCAAACCAGGGTGAAGAGCGTTTACAGTAACACCAGTACCCTTCAATCTTCTGGCTAATTCTACAGTGAAACATACGTTACCCAATTTACTATTACCATAAGCCACTAAGTATGAGAAAGGACGTTTATCAGGGTATCTGTCCAAATCTTCCGGATCTAAGTTTGCAATCTTATGCAGAATGGATGAAACGTTCACAACTCTGCTTGGAGCACTTGCCTTAAGTTTATCTAAAATGTGGATTAAGTGTTGCATGATGTGATAAAATTACTTAATTTAAAGATTAGGTAGGTACTACTCCAGTATTTATAAAATTTTAAAACTGTTCATTTCGTTCATTCAGGAGTAGGAAGGCCTAGATTAAATTTCTTTTCGCAAAATTATTCTGCTTTTCGAGAAACGTAGACTGGCTCAGGATATTGAGAATTAATGTGCGTGTCCAACCAGTCTTAAGACTGACGACCTTACGAAGATGATGATAATTAATTTTGTTAAATTTTTTTATTAGACTCTGAGGATCATCGAACCAATGTGACGACCTTATGAAGATGATGATGATAATGAATTTTGTTAAATTTTTTTATTAGACTCTGAGGATCATGGAATAGTTATAAACTCTTAGTAGAAAAGGTGTCTGATAAGTATGCTGACTTATTTTTGACGTGCAAGGCCAATTGACTGCTTTACTTACTGATTAATAAATGAGTCAACAGAAAACTGCTGTAGTAATTGACCTGCATTACAAGATTGCAACCGTCGCTTGTTTTTGGTGTATCCTTGGTACCCATTCCAGCATTATTCACCAGGATGTCCAGTCTTTCTTCTGTTTCGTTAAAATCCTTGGCGAATGCTCTAACCGAATCGAAAGAAGTTGCGTCAAAAAGTTTTACGACTACATTAGGATTACCGGTGATTTTGATAATCTTTTGACGTGCATCCTCAGCTTTTTCTCTGTTCCTGCATGCCAAGATTACTCTCGCTCCTCTCATTGATAGATCGAGTGCCGTATAAAAACCAATACCTTCAACATAAGGACATACATTTAAATAATTCAAATAGGCAATTAACCGTATAATCTACCCCTTAGTCCTTTAACTTAAACTATAAATCCACAATTTGAACCTTTTGAATTCGAATCCCATGAATCTATAACGTAGTCCCCATTAGCCGGAAGGAAAGAAGAAAATATACAGGTACTATTGTCGCCTCTTCATTTACGCCTCCCGGGGCCCATGACCCTCCCCACGCTACGCCACTGGGACTAATATTGAATTTAGTCAATACATGTCTCTTGTACCCACTTTATAATGGCGACCATGGTAATTTTTACTAAAATTTTTCTCGGTAAATGTCTAGATGATGGAGGTGGGTGGGATCAAAAGAGGTCTCCCCCACCACTACCATAAAAAGTTCGTAGCGGTCTCATCCTCACATCTGAAAAGGTTATGGGGATCAGATGGGGGTGGGGATAGGGGGATCGAAAGAGGGTGGTCACCTGAGTAAAACCCCATAAAAAATTTGCGGCGGTCTCACCCCCATAAAAAGTTATGGGGGCTGAAAGTTGATTATTTTGACAATTTTCATACACTATAATTTAAATAAAATTCAATAAAAAAATTATTTTCAAGCGGGTGGAGGAGGGGGGATCGAAAAAGGGTGGTCACTTGAACAAAACCCGATAACCTAACCTAACCTACCCTATTGATGAAGCTATTTAAATAATGTTTTATATAACTTTCTCAATATTTTTATGTATTTTTCATTAGTTTTACCTTTGAATTATTGTTTAAGAATGACTATATAAATATTTACATGCCTAGAAATGTATAAAAATTGGCATATTTATTAACTTTGAACCCCCATAACTTTTTATGGTGCAGTGGTGGGGGAGACCTCCCCTTTTGACCACCCCCACCCAAACAAGGGGGTGGGGCCATCATCTAGACCTTTACCTTTTTCTCTCCATATAGGTCCTACTAAACGTAATATCACTAAACGCTAGTTATTTTTGTTTAAAGTTAAAATCCGTTTTTAAAAAACAAAAACACTACTCAAACAAAATGAGGTGTCTTAAAGACCACCTACGTTTGTCTGAGTGAGTAACAATTCTCGTTACGATTTTTAATACCATGTTTCGCATAATTACAATTTCTGCTGTACCTCAGGAAATGTACTAGAAACTAGATACATCTGACACGTGCAACGTGCATGCAGTTGTTCGTTATATTAAAACAATACGCAACTTGTTTGCACAATAGTTTCATTATTCACACTCGTTAATGATAACTGCTTGGTTTATTGGTATTGTCAAGAAATAATTTGTTTTAATGACATCAAGGAATCCTAAATTGGCGTTAAACAACTTAAAATCGGATTAATATTAAAATAAACCCAAACAATTCTCGATGTAAAAAAGTTTTTTTAGTAGAGAAGAAAATTTGGAAGATCTTTACAGGACTGTTTAGAAAATTTATTTTCTCGGACCAGATCTCTGTTGCAGAAACATTTCCTCATCTAATTATTTGAAGGATGATAGAGAATTTTTATTAAATTTTGGCGATGTATATTACTGCAGGTTACATTTTATAAAGAATCAAAAATAATGACTAATAGTCATTTGACATTTTTTTAATTCATTGGAAAGTAAAAACTAAAGTAAAGAATTGTTTACTAAACTAGTGACTGAAATGTTTCAAAAGGAACTGCTTATTTTATGCGAATGCAGAAATATTTAAAGTTTTTATTCAAATGGAACGAATATTCAGAACAACCTTTAACAGATTATTGGCATTGAATTATAATTTAGATACGTTGTTTACGTTAATTATTAAAAATATCGTTTTATCCCCTGTGACAGAAAACCTTCCATAAATTAGAAGCAATTTTAGTGAAGAGACTTCGATTAAATATTTCTTCAAAGAAATCTATTAAAAATAATAAAAAGTCTTCTCTAGGTAGAAAAAACTCAACACGTACATGCTAAAGAGTAACTTGTTAACTTTATTTTTCGATTTATGTAGTCATTCTTCAATAAACAATTTTGAAGAAATGTCTTATATACATATTTCTCGTATGTTATTTTTTTTAAATTTAAATCTCGGGAACAAAACGATATGATGATCTATTCTTTTTTTATTATTTATTCTAAAAACATTTCTCCATGCTCTCCTTTTTTTCTATTCTGTTGGGAGATTTTTTTGATATAATAGAAAATAGTTAGAAGGACAAACAGTTTTACACGCTTCAAGTGGAAAGTGACTCGAAATCGCAAGTTTTTTAATTGATTATCTCGCGATCTAAACGAATTCTGAAACTTCTAGGTCTTATAGATAATGTTATTCTAAATATTTAAAAAAAAATAGGCCAAATCTCTCGAAATGTGGTTTGACAACATCCTTTAATCTAAGAACACTTTTCATGCTTCCAATCTGCCCATTTTATTGTATTAAAATTTCCGAATACGTTTTTGAATTTCACAACAGTTTGATATTGCATGAAAAGAAATTTTTCTGACAATTTTGTTGTAGTTTGATGGTAATTATCTGTTTTTAATTATCTTATTTATGCAAATAAATGTAACACATTAATTACATGCAATGCAACCAGGTGTTAAGTTACGTCATTGTGACGAAATAGATCAATTCCAATATTGACGACTGAAAATTTTAAAATTTGAAAATTAATTTCATTGGTGTTCTGGACATTGAGAAAATTAAAGTTTTATAAAAGGTGATGCAGTTCTTTGTGAATACAATAGTGAAGGTCACAATTTTTTATCTTGGTTTCCGTTAAAAGTTCACACAAATTGTTGAACGCCCTAAGAATGTTTTTTTATTCGAAAATAATGCCAAACCGGCGAGTGTTGACCGTATATCAAAGGAGGAAATAAAAAAAAAAGAAAATTACAGGAGGTATTCAATTAAAATTAATGAAGTGAAGAAAATAATTTTAGCTATGTTAATGTTAATTTTATGTTATACATTGTATGTATAACTGGATATTGTATTTAACGCACTTTTGATAGCATAAACAATAACTCATTAGCATATCTGCACTTATTACTAAATACAAAAATGGCGCATGAATTTGATACATCTTTATTTTACTAATATTCTTATTATTGGTGTGGCTCATTTTCGAATATATTCAATACAGAAAATTGTGTTGTTCCCTCACCTGTATTAGCACCTGTTATCACTACAGTTTTTCCTACCAAACAAGTATAACTTCTGTCCCATCCCGTTGTTAATTTGCTGTAAATTTTTACAACAATTAACACTAAAGAAATAACCACGGTAACTGTCACAAGTGTAAATGGCATTGTTCTAACTGCCTGTTTACTTCAAATACGCTACTGATTTGAAATGCCGCGGTATTTTCCAAATAAACTAATACCGACGAAGTATTCTGTAATCTGTAATGCAAAGCGTATACTTTTAATGTATGTTCGCTTATCAATATTGTTTGTTATTATAAATACTATTTATTAACGTTAAAAACTAGTTAACTACTTATAATGATTAGTAGCGTCAAAATAACGGTCAATTTCACACAAACTATGAAATTAAGGAAAATACTGCTTTTCAAAGGTCAACGTTTAAAAATTCACCATTGTTTTAGAAATGTAATCTTTAGTGCATTTTTGCGAAACATATTAAATATGTAATAGGTAACAAGAACCCAAACACGCGGAAGAAAAAGACAATGATTCTCAAAATATGTAACATAAATATATACATAACATAACGATGACTAATTTACTATAGGGTTGTTCGGAAAGTCATTTCGTTTTTTCCCGGCAGAGGATTTAATTGTATTCTTTTGCACCCAACTTCACATTTAAGCCGTATAATTTTTATATGCTTTGAGAGCTCATATAGCAAGGCTTGTGTGTGAAAAATTCCAATTAATTCTACGCAGTAGTTTTTGGTTGGTGCCCTTTTAAATATGGAGAGCGATAAGCAGCATTTTCAACATATCTTACTGTTTTACTACAGAAAGGGTAAAAATGCTGTTCAAGCCAGAAAGAAATTGACTGATGTGTATGGAGAAGGTGTGTTGACAGTACGCCAGTGCCAGAACTGGTTCGCTAAATTTCGATCCGGCAATTTTGATGTCGAAGATGCACCACGTTCGGGAAGGCCGGTTGAAGCTGATAAAGACGCGATAAAGGCATTAGTTGATGTGAACTGGCGAATAACAACACGTGAGATCGGATTGAGGTTAAATTTATCAAATTCAACAGTTTATGACCACTTGAAAGGCCTGGGATTATCCTCGAAGCTCGATGTATGGGTTCCCCATGTTCTCACAGAGAGAAATCTGTGTCGCCGCATTGACGTCTGCGATTCGCTTCTCAAACGTCACGAAAATGATCCGTTTTTGAAGCGCATCATCACTGGGGACGAAAAATGGGTTGTATACAACAACGTCAAACGCAAGAGGTCATGGAGCAAAAAAGATGAACCGGCTCAAACCATTTCCAAAGCCGATATTCACCAAAAAAAGGTGATGCCGTCTGTTTGGTGGGATTTTAAAGGAATCTTTTTTTTTGAGCTTTTACCGGATAACACAACGATTAATTCGGAAGTCTACTGTCATCAGCTGGACAAACTGAATGATGCACTTCAACAGAAAAGGTCAGAACTAATCAACAGGAAAGGTGTAGTGTTTCACCAAGACAACGCGAGACCTCACACAAGTTTGGTCACTCGACAAAAGCTTTTACAGCTTGAATGGGATACAATGCTACACCCACCATATTCTCCAGACCTGGCACCATCGGATTATTATTTGTTCCGGTCACTCCAAAATTTTTTAGACGGTAAAACCTTCACCTCAAATGAGGAGGTCAAAAACCTCCTCGATCAGTTTTTTGCCAGCAAAGACCAAAAATTTTATGAGCGTGGAATTATGCTACTACCAGAAAGATGGCAAAAGGTGTTGGACCAGAACGGTCAATATATAATTTAATAAAGTATTTGTTTATTATACGAAAACTGTCTTTCATTTCCGCAAAAAAAAAAACGAAATGACTTTCCGAACAACCCTATAATTTTCACCAGTACACTATAATTGTTCCATAAAATCAAGTTGATATCATGTGCATCAGCATCACCGATAATTTCTACTGTTTGAAGTGTTTCAAATTTTTGACAGGATATCTATTTCTCAAATCGGAAAATCTTGCATGTGCGCGCGTGTTTTGTTTCTCATTAGTACACTTAATTCCGAAACAGTAACTGGGGTATTTCAGTTAATTGAATAGTGTAATCACATTATTCCACTAATCAGCGGTAATAAATAGTCATTAATAGGCGCAAATATTTTTTCAAACTAGACCCGTAATTGACGCGTAAATAGTAATTGTTAAGAGCTATTATTTCTTCTTTTTTTAAACGTATTATTAGTGTGACCAGTTCAAATTAAATTAGTTTTAGTTTCCAAACAAATTGGAATGTAAAGTATCAAGTCAGAAAATGAAGGAATAGTATCATTACGATTGTCTTTTATTATTATTTTACGTCATTGATAGACTCTATATGAACCAATATAAAAGATACTGTCAACATTACGTTAAATTTATGCACATGTAAAATATTTATGAATCGATTAATAAAAAATGTACAAACTATGCATGCTCAACTGTCACCACTTGGATATCAATAACATCAAAATTTTATATCATAATATTTCAAAAAATAAAAAATTAAACTTCTTAGGAATATTAGTACTTAAGGAAGCATTTAACTTAAACCTTTTTCTAAAAAACAAGAGCAATTAGAATTAAATAGTTATATTTCACCATTAGTATAAAAGTAATGATTAATGCAAATAAAATTGTATGTATTATTACAAAAGTACTGGATAATGTAAATTATTTACATTAACATTTTCGTAACACAGAAAAGCAGCAACAGTGATCTATTTATAAATAATCTTCTCATCAGGAGATAGACGTACTATTTTCTCAGTGTTTTCCCATATTTTCTTCAAGTAATGGTCTCGAGTAATTTCCTTTGATAAATTTTCTCGTGCACAGTCTACAAAGTATTGTCCGGAAATATTTTTTACTTTGGGTGAAACGGCAAGATAAATTGACGTTTGGGCTCCTTCCAGAGGTGTCTAAAAAGATCTAGTATAAGTTATATACAGAGTTTGTCCGGAAAGTAATAGGACTGATTTCCTTCCGCCGCGACTGTACTTCGGAGCGTGCGCGCACCGACTGGATTCGGGCATTCCTAGCTAACGAACGAGCGGCCTAGTGAGTTGTCTCCGAGCAGCTGGAGAGTCACAACAGGCTTTTTCGCGCGACGTGTTTCTATGAGTGGTGCAAGCCGAAAATGCAGCGTTCGTTAGAGCAGAGGTACGCGATTAAATTCTGTGTGAAACTCGGTAAATCTGCGACAGAGACGTTTAATATGATCAAACAGGCTTACCCAGATGTTGCTTTAGCAAGAAATGGTGTGTTTCGGTAGCACCAGGCCTTTTCAGAGGGCCGGGAAGAGGTCGCCGATGAAGACCGTGCTGGAAGGCCTTCGACTTCGACAGACACAAGCAAACATGACATTGTGACGGAGCATTTGAACATGCGCAAAGTGTGCGCGAAGATGGTCCCAAAAGTGCTCACTGACGACCAGAAATTGCGGCGAGTGGAAATGTGCCAAGGAAATTTAAAACGTGTGAAAGTGACCCCCCAATTTTTGACTAACGTAATCACAGGTGACGAGTCATGGATCTTTGAGTATGATCCCCAGACAAAGAGGCAATCCTCCGAGTGGCACACGCCGGCATCTCCTCGCCCAAAAAAGGGAAGAATGAGCAAATCCAAAGTGAAAACGATGCTCATTGTCTTTTTTGACATGAAAGGCATCGTCCACCATGAATTTATTCCTCCTGAACAAACCGTCAACGCCAAGTTTTACGTGGAAGTGCTCAAGAGACTCAAACGAAGGGTCAATCGGGTCCGACAAGACATCGCAGCCGACTGGAAGTTGCACCACAACAACGCCTCGGCTCGCACCGCCTTTCTTGTAGACAACTACCTGACCAAGGCCGGCATCCCAATGCTTCCGCAGCCGCCCTACAGCCCAGATGTGGGCCCCCCGGACTTTTTTTTTGTTTGCTCGCCTAAAAAGGGCGATGAAAGGCAAGCATTTTGAGACGACAGAGGGGATCCAAGCAGCATGCACCACGGCTCTTAAGGCTATTCCGGAGAATGCCTTCCGTGACGCCTTCAATGCTTGGAAATCGCGCTGGCAGCGCTGCATCGACGCAGAAGGAGCCTATTGAGAATGTTTTTAAAGAATTGTAACGATTAGCTCAATAATTTTTTTTAAATCGACTCAGTCCTATTACTTTCCGGACAAAACCTGTATGTTCCTTAACTTAAAATAAAAGGTTACTACAACTAAAGGGTCACATACTAGTTGTCATGGGCGCCGTCAGAATTATTTTCACACTATTCTATTAACTAATGATAAAGACGCGATAAAGGCATTAGTTGATGNATAATAAAGTGCATTCTTATAATATTTTATAAGTAGATGTTCAAATAATTATTAATAACTGTAGCCTGAAAAAAATCAGTGAAGTGAAAAATGCGTCTAGTACTACAAAGGCTATCATATTTTTTGATATGTTTTTCTGCGATTTTTACAATGTCAGCTTTTATAATCGTAGGTATTCTACGACATATATCCTTGTACTAGGGGAGCATGGACAATAATAACGGTCCTTGGATCTATCATAAAGTCAACTGTTGGGTCTGACCATTCAACCTTCAGGTTTTGTTATATTGGCTATAAAAATTTGCCATTTTTAAGGTTAAATACCAGACAGTTGCTTTCGCAGATTTTGGTATTTTTGCCAACCAAAACGGTACAAATATCAGGAAATTGAAATGTCTAACATTACTGTGTGGCGGATCTAATTCTTTCTGATATTGCCGCCCCCACCTTTCCGTCACCCGGGGTCCTAATCCCTTTTTTACCCCCCCCCCCTTCCCACGCTACGTTCCTGGAATCTATCATTTCTTCTCTGCGAATTCGATTTTCTTCGATTACCCTAGTTCCATGTTTCAGAACGTATTTTATATTGTTCTATTACCGTATCAAATATTTCGAAAGAAAATCTCGATTATTTCTACCCTGTCTGCCATCTAGTAATTCATTAATAAATTTAAACACAGATGCAGTGATCATTAAATGAAATTACACATCATCAATTCAAAAATCACCAATTACGTAGGCACTGAATTTTTTTCGGATATTGTTTGTAGTAAATTTTTGTAATAAAGATTTTCCTTGTTCCAATAAACGACTTGTAAAGTAAAGTAAAAATGATGATGATTTAAAAGGGAACATCGGCCATTCAAAATGCTTCAAGTATGTCATTCTTTTGTACAAAACTCTTATAAGGACGCTTACCTTTGAGCAAATACTCGCGAAAAATGCTACAATTATCCTCTGAAGACCTGTTATTTCATTAAAAATATTTGTGAAAATAAAACCAGGATGAAGAGCGTTTGTAGTTACGCCAGTTCCTTCTAATCTTCTAGCCAATTCTATATTAAAGCATACGACACCTAATTTGCTATTGCCATAGGTCACGCAAAATGAAAGAGGAAATTGTTTTGGATATCTGTCTAAATCGTCAGAATCTAAATATGCAATCTTGTGCAGAATAGATGCTACATTTACAATTCTACTCGGTGCACTGGCTTTAAGTTTATCTGAAAAAAAAGATAATAAGTTAGAGTGAAACAGACACGGAAGCAGACGACAGGGAGTATTCCGATACAGTGTCCATATGCAAATACAAAGAACATATGACGATCGATATGTACCTGTTAGAAGTTTATTTAGTCTTTCACTGATGTCGTCTGAAAAAACTGGATTTCCAAATTCTAACCGCGTCCTCTTGATGGATCATATTGATGTCAAAAAGTTTTCTTCTCCTAACACAAGTTGTATCTTCAGAAACTGACTCGAGATCGGAATCTTCTTGCAGGGTTTAAAAAGTTGTTGCGGCGTTACTTCAGTACACATTTCCAAGCTGTATCGAGATAGGATACCCAACTTCCCCGTTAAATTGTTTGGGTATTGATGTTCCTGAGGAAGTGGCGTATCTCTCTGGCTAGCATCTTTGTCTGATTGAATTGGGTGTTGTGTCCTGTGTTTCCAACCTTTTCTACAAAGGCTGATTTCTATTGTTCCAGTCAAACAGACCTCTCATGCTCTTTCATCTTTGTTGCGATGGATCCACCTGTTTCCCCGATGTAACAAGGATGAAAGAATATGACAGGTCCGATCGAATTAAATAATACAGCAAATACGCCTTGATATAATAGATTCAGAATGCATTTCGACCAGACAAAGATGCTAGCCACTTCTTTCCCAGGGTCATCAAGGAAGCAGTTGAGATCCACAAGCACCAGAACAATCTCAACAGTGAAGATGGGTGTCTTCTCGACACAGCTTAGAAGTGGGTATTGAAGATTGACCGTATAACCACTTATGCGCAACGACAGAAGAACTATTTAAACCGCCGCCGTCGCCAGAAGATTCCGAGTCAATTAAACTCAGCGTTGCAGATCATGCATTGACCATGTATCCTGATTCGGTTTGTAATAAGAGATGAAACGTCGAACACACATCAAGGGAATTTCATCTAAAAAACGCGGTTAGAATCCGGAAATCCAATTTCTTCAATGTGTATTAGGTTCTTATACTCCTCAACTATCTGTTGGAATCTGACCTTTTTACCTTAGTGGTCTCAGAAAAGAGTTGAATTGAAAACAATAAGGAATTACTTACCTATTAATAAATGAGTCAATAAAAAGCTGCTGTAGTAATTAACTTGCATTACAACATTGCAACCATCATTTGTTTTAAGCCTTTCCTTGGTACCCATTCCAGCATTATTCACCAAGATATCTAATCTTTCCTCCGTTTCGTTAAAATCTTTTGCAAACGCTCTGATTGAATCAAAGGAGGTTGCTTCATAAAATTTCACTACGATATTGGGATTACCGGTAATTTTGATAATTTTTGCACGTGCATCTTCACCATCTTCTCTATTTCTACATGCCATAATTACCCTCGCTCCTCTCTTTGCTAAATCGAGAGTTGTGTAGAAACCGATACCTAAAACCAAGGATATAATGAACATATTTAATACTGGTGCTGGTCTAATTCAGGTCTTTAAGGCCGTTGTTGACGCCTGGTTTGACGAACTTTGTTGTTTTATGATTAAACTCACGTTAGTTTTTTAATGTGATGTTTTTTCAAACTTGACACTTAAATAAAAACCTTACGCGGTAAAGATGATGGCCCCCATCCCCGAAGGGGGTGGGAGTGGGTGTGATCGAAAGAGGAGGTCTCCCCCACCACTGTACCATAAAAAGTTCCTGGCGGTCTCACCTCCATAAAAAGTTATGGGGGCTGAATGTTGATTATTTTGACAGTTTTCATACACTATAATTCAAATAAAATTCAATAAAAAAATTATTTTCAAGCGGGTGGAGGAGGGGGGATCGAAAAAGGGTGGTCACTTGAACAAAACCCGATAACCTAACCTAACCTACCCTATTGATGAAGCTATTTAAATAATGTTTTATATAACTTTCTCAATATTTTTATGTATTTTTCATTAGTTTTACCTTTGAATTATTGTTTAAGAATGACTAACATGCCTAGAAATGTATAAAAATTGGCATATTTATTAACTTTGAACCCCCATAACTTTTTAAGGGGGTGAGACCGCCACGAACTTTTTATGGTACATTGGTGGGGGAGACCTCCTCTTTTGATCCCCGCCCCCAAGGGGGTGGGGGCCATCATCTAGACCTTTACCTAACTCTAAAAAATATTAATACTACTTAACTGTTATGTTACGAAAAAGCTTGTGATAATGTTTGACTAGGTCTGATGATTCTGATTGTGTATTATTCTGTGATTCCCTGATTAATATGATGATTGGGCTTTTATCCTTTTTTCGGATATTAAAAAGAATTGTGTGAAGAGGGAGAGTAGGTGGAATTAGCAAAGTTTAGAAACATTAATTGGATTAGTAATAGAAGAAACAGGGTTGTTGGTCCAAGATAAAAAAGTGGAGTATAAGGGGTTTGATAAAAAGAGAAAGGGGAGTTGGGGTACGTGCGAGTGTCCAGCGTGCAATAATTCTTCGTATCAGATGTCAATGATTTGAAGGTGATCAATTGTATCGACTGTTGCACACCAACGAAAATAACATAATAGATTTTACAACTGCAAATAAAGATAAGGAATACGAAGTAATTGAAATATTATGATGTTGGGATAAACCCCTAACTAGCTACATAGATCCACCAATTTATATGTTATTTATTTAACATCCACAAAATTTTGGATAAGGATAAGGACATAGTAGATGACTAAAAAATATTTTTAAATGGATGCAGAGGGTGGAGGCGGTAAAGAGTCGAATAAAAGTGAATGTTTTATCCAAACAATGGGATCATATCTCGGATTTTGTTTTTTTTTTTTGTAGAGAGACCCTAATCCACCATAATCTGAACTGCTGAACTTTGCTATGCACAAAAAGAAAGATCTACACGTCGACACGTTTCATCTACCCCCCCACACACACATACAAGCCCCTCCTTCTCTCCGGCCGAAGGTCAGCTCATATACACAATAACCGTTTCACTCATTTGCAGATGCATCCCTTGTGCCTCCACATTTCCAGACACAACTAAAAACATTTTTGTATTCTATGATTTATTCAAGGTTATCCCAATCCCCCACCTGTTTATCCCCCGTGCTAAATGTTGTCTTTTTTCTCACCTGAATCAGGACCAGTAACAACAGCCGTCTTTCCAACTAAACAAGTGTGACTTCGATCCCATCCTGTAGTAAGTTTGATATAAATCTTTAGAGTAATCAACAGTAAAGAAAAACCTATAATAACCATTACAAATACCAAAAACATTGCTGCCCAATGAAAGTCCTGCAGATACCTAAAAAAGTAAAGAAAAAATTTTTTTTTAATGCATGATTCGCATGTACTTTTGGAATATAATGTAAATTATCCAGATTAATTTGTAATTAAGGTTTCCTTAATAATAATCAGTCGTCTGGAAGGTGTTGTTAATCAGTAAAAGAATAGCAATTTTGAAACAAAGTATACGGCTAGTTTATCAAGAGATTTTTGCCTAGGCCTACTGTTACCTTTGGCGTTCTCTTACAACTACCACTAAAATTATTTTGAAATCATTTTTTCGATTTTTTATTTACCCACTGCAAACTACCTCAAATTAATGAGGGAAAAATTGTTGCTGTTGTCACACCCCCGCCGGGAATCGAACCCGGGACCTTTGGCTTTACGCACCAATGTTCTGACCACTAAACTACGAGAGGTGACAACAACAACCACGACCAACCGACCTACAAGGTTAACGATCCGTCGAACTAATGTAACTATATACTGAATATACTATGATTAAACATACATATAATTTAGATATCTTTTAGAAGTGAGTTAGTTTAATATGAAATATTATTCTGAAAATTCATTTCTGAATTTTTTACCCACTACACGCTACCTCAAATTAATGAGGGAAAAATTGTTGCTGTTGTCACACCCCCGNCTTGTCTAAATAGTAGTAGAAGGTTCGATCTTATAGTCCTTTATCTTAAGAAAATTCGAAGATGAACTTTACAATATCCGAAGTTTTAAATTTACTCGGCTGGGCCATGCTGCCGAATCCAGCATAAATTATTTCACAGCGTGCTTTGTAATATTGTGACTAATCAAATTCATATTCATATCCAGCAACTGAATAAAAGTCTATAAAATAAACTTCTTTATGCCTTAATATTCCTAAGAGAAAACCTTGGTAACATTAGTGCCCAATATTTTAATAAAATAGTTTGTAAAAAAGTTTTATTGTATAGTATGAAGCCAAAGCCGAAAAGGGTTGTTTATTTTTTCCAACGTTTCGCCTTACTTATCGACCATTCTCAAGGCTAGTTTTTAACGTTTCGTACCTTAAAAGAAAAAAAAGAAACCCTTATAAAATCACTTAAGGAACCTGTAAAGGTATCAAGTTGGACCTGGAATCCCTTGAAACTGTGCAACAATCAAACTCCTAATCAACGCAATCAAGATATTACGGTCATTTATAGCTCTTTGAGTAATGTGAGCTATATTTTTTCACAAATGTCAGTGAATTTATAAAAATTTACCACCAATAACTCGACACCTCCTCGTTCACTCAACATTACTTCAATTTTATTATATCGGGTTGTTCGGAAAGTCATTTCGTTTTTTCCCGACAGAGGATCTAATTGTATTCTTTTGCACCTAACTTCACATTTAAGCCGTATAACTTTTATATGCTTTGAGAGTTCATATAGAAAGGCTTGTGTGTGAAAAATTCCAATTAATTCTACGCAGTAGTTTTTGGTTGGTGCCCTTTTAAATATNACTTTTAAAACAAAATAAAAAATTATAAAATTATAACAGTTTTGATGCCGGCGCTGCACAATCGCAAATTAATTACGATTGCCAGCTGGTCGTAGAAAAATTCACCTTCAGTAGGTCGGGATCAGTTGCTTTTTGGGGTGATGTTATTGTTTATGTTTGGTATTAAGTTCCGGATCAGCCGAAGAAAATGCACTCGCGTTAAGGTGCATTATATGACTGAAACATGTTAGAAAAACTACGTACCTATCACAATCGAAAATCCCATGATCGTAAACTTTTTTTAACAACTACAACAAATTGTAACAACTACAGAATAGTTAGAAGCGGTGTACAAACAACCCTCACCACCCCAGCGTTTGGTAAAGGTTTGTAACATAACGTACTAGTGTACAAAAACAAATGTATGTGTTATGGTTGTAAAAGTTGAGACAAGATGCAGACCAGCAGACCTACTTTGACCATTCAAATGTGTTAAACGTTAGTTTTGCCTGGCAGGGCTCATTAACCCCATGTGGAGTAATACAAGGGTGTGTCCAGAAGGACCAATTATGGTTATTGTGTTTTCATTAAATGTAAAAAGCTAAATATTGATATAACCTCGTATAATTACACTGCTGGAAGTGACTCGAAAACAAGGCACATAATGTTGTAGATTCTAACAGGTTGTTCAGTTCGCTTTGGATTGTTGTGGAATTTACTTGTTTGTTAGTGTTAGTTTATTTATTTAGTGGTCATTTCATAAAAGACTATTACAATAAGGACAATTAGTAGTGTGATAGTGCATTCTAGTACGGTTCTTATTCAACCGTCAGTTGGTGGTGAGTTACATTACCAATGCCTATTGTATAATTCGAAACGTCGCTGTCATCAGTGTTGCATTGAAGCGAATGGCGAACAATTTAAACATTTTTTATGAAGGTACGCATTTCTTTTTCACTTTTACCATTTTTTTACAAGGTGGAAGTGCATTTGACTTCTTCCCGGTAAGTACTTGTTAGATCCACACTAGATTAGCTGAGCAACGTTAGTCGCCTAGATCCAGGCCCGTAATGAAACAAATTGTACGTTCAAATTTACAAAGACGATTTGCGAGCTCAATTGTCACTGGATTGAAAAATTGTATAACACTTTTTTGTTGTATTTTGTGTCAGGAAGCCATGTTTTTTTTTT